TTTTTTTTTTTCGGCGAAACTTTTTTGTTCATAGAATGTGGAAGATTGAAAGTTTGTGCTTGTGATCTTGTCCTGGCTCTTTGTTTGCTATATCTTGGCTTTTTTTTTTTTTAAATCATCTTAGCTTTCTGTTTTTACATGAGATCGTTGTAATATATCCAACGGTTAGACAATCATATTTTTTCAATAAATATGAATACTTCAAACAGAAGTGTGTCGTATTTTGAAAATAATATAAAAAATATACGACATTTTATAGAATAATTATGTAATTTTATTAAAGAATTTTGAGTGTATGTAAATGTGTAACATAAATATAAACTATTTAACCTCCGTATAAATCAGCTTGTTAACTATAATACACAATATGAATATTAGCTGTAAGAATAATTTAAAATCTTGTAAAGTTGTTACAAAATAAGAAATTAATAATAATAAGATTTTACTTGTGTAACTGTCATTTGAATGTTGATTATAAAGATTTTTTATTAAATGAAGTCATATTTTTTATTAATTGTTGGCTGAATAAAATTTATTGAAGAATGTCAACAATTATACATATTGATGGAGACGAGATCGCCCTCGCATTCCTCGATAAATTTGATCGGATGTCGTTGCTTATTTAATTACTTTATTGCCTTTTCCCTTATTATTATTAGATTTCCTTATTTATGTTATTTAGAATTAGGAAAATAATTATGTGGTTTTATCTTGTTTAGTAAATTAGGTTTATGGGGAGTCTACAATATATATATTTGTATTCTCTTCAGTAGCAGACGATGAATAATTTTGAGATTAATCTGATATTGTGAGTTCTTTCACGAGAGAGTATCTCGTATCTTTCTCGTTCTTATTCACGTTTTACATCAGTTGGTATCAGCAGACCAGCAACGATCAACGATGCCGCCGAAAAAGAACACCGTAATCGACAACGCCATTGATGAACGCTTCCAACGAGTGGATGAACGTTTTAATGGAATTGACGACAAATTCACGGTTATCTCAACGGGGATCGATGACTTGCGAGATGCGATGCGAACTTTGATGGACGAAGTGCGTACGAACCGCGACGCCGGCGACCGGGGCACACGCGGAGGGTTTCGCGGTGGTCGTGGTGGTCGTGGCTTTGGCGGGGCGCCCCGCCGGCAATCACCACACCCACTGCCCGGCGAATCTGATACCGATGAGACCCTTACCATCGACAATCCTTTTGCCGACGGCATTCCGGGACGCGGAGGAACTGACAGCTTCCGGGCGCCAAGGGGACGTGGCGAACGGTGCGGTAGTACTGGGCCTGTTGGTGATGATTTTTACGACCGTGACAGCCTGCTTTGGGAGGACGACGAACAACACCGTCGCGATGGCAGGCTTGTGGATGACGACAGGCCCCGTCGTGGTGGGCGGCGCGGCGATGGGTTTGACGGGGTTGACCAGCGGCAGCGCGGGTGGGGTCCTGACGACGGCGGCCTAGGGTTTTACGATGGCGGACAGCAACGCCGCGACGGATGGATGGACCGAGATGGCGCTGGACTCGACGGCGTTCACTTCCACCGGCGCGCTTGGGGCGATGGACCGACCGGCCGAGAGTTCCAGGGCGGCGGACATCAGCTTCATGATTTGGACCGCGGCGACGCCGGCCAGGGGCTGTACATGCGTGAGTTTCGCCGCAAACATGACAGCCACGGTGACCCGCGTTGGGAAGTCAGTTTTCGGGTCGAGATTCTGGAGTTTTCGGAAGGAACAGATGCAACGGAGTTCCTTGACTGGTGGGCTGCAGTTGAATCCGTCCTCAAATTTAAGGAGGTCCCAGATGAAAGGCGTGTCGCACTTGTTGCAACGCGGTTCCGGGGACGAGCAGCGGCTTGGTGGATGCAACTCACGAGTTTGCGGCATCGCCAGGGGAAGCCAGAAATCTCCACTTGGATGCAGTTCCGTAAGTACGTAAAACGTGAATTTCTCCCTTTTAATTATGATCATGTGGTTTATCAACAGTTGCACAATTTAAGGCAAGGCCCGCGTTCTGTTTCCGAGTATACGGAGGACTTTTATCGTCTCTTAACTCGTGTGGAGATACGTGAGTCGAAGGGACAGTTGGTTGCTCGCTATGTTGGGGGTTTGAATATTGCTATACAGGATATGCTTAGTCTTGTGGTTCCAGAGTCGGTTTCGGATGCACATCAACGGGCCCTCATTGTTGAGAAACAACTGGCTCGAAAGACGAGCCATTCCAGTGGTGTTGCTGGTGCAGGTTTGCAGTCCGGGCGTGGGGTACCTGCTTCGAGCATGCCCTCGGGCTCCGTGCCGGCACTGGGGCGCGGCTCGACGGCCAGCGGCGGGCTTCCGCGGGCAACCGGTGACTTGGGGACGGCTCCAACCGCAGGAATGCCGCGAGCTGGCGGCGGGATTCGATGCTTTGGGTGCGGTGAGCTGGGACATAGACAGGCGGCTTGTCCACGTGTGGCCGGGTCACGCGCTCTGTTTACCGAGGAGACACCAGAATATTCGGCAGCTGCAATGTATGATGGCCCTCCTATTTTTGACAAAGAGCCAGAGATTCCTGAGGTGCATGCCTCTGGAGACGTGGGACAAGCACTTGTTCTTCGTCGCTCTCTTTTGTCCCCGCCCGTCTATTCCACGGATGAGGGCCTACGTAGGCGGCTTTTCGAATCTACGTGCACTGTAGGCAACCGGGTATGCCGTTTTGTTACTGATTCCAGGTCATGTGAGAACGTGATATCTGACGAGGCCGTGGCGAAGCTTGGATTGTCTACAGAGCACCATCCGGATCCTTATGCTCTCGCCTGGATTCGGCATGACAACGTTGTCCCTGTCAACAGGCGTGTGTTGGTGTCTTTCTCGATTGGTTCGGCATATAGGGATGAGGTGTGGTGCGATGTCGTGTCGATGGATGATTGGCACCTTTTATTAGGACGTCCGTGGCAATTTGATCGTGTCGTGGTGCATGATGGGCGTCTTAACACGTATGGATTTCTGTTTGAGGGCAACCGCGTTGTCTTACATCCCTCGGCCCCTCGTTCTGTTCCTTTACAGCAGACATCGACGGCATTGTTTCTTGCTCGAGATGGGCCGCGTGGAGACTTGTTTGGCGCAGTGCTCGGTAGTTCTGTGGTCTTTGACGTGGGCGAATTTGTGTGGGTTGCTTCTCCTCTAGGCGATAGGCTCGGGCCCTATGAGGTTCTTGCACGGCTCCCGCAGGATTCTTACCGTCTTCGCCTTCCATCTCATAGGTGTTCTTCTGATATTTTCATGTTGCAGAGTTGGCCCCTTTCACCAATGACGGCTCAGACGGAGACGAGATCGGTTCGGATTCGAGGGCGAATCCTTCTCAACCGGGGAAGGATGATGGAGACGAGATCGCCCTCGCATTCCTCGATAAATATGATCGGATGCCATTGTTTATTTAATTACTTTATTGCCTTTTCCCTTATTATTATTAGATTTCCTTATTTATGTTATTTAGAATTAGGAAAATAATTATGTGGTTTTATCTTGTTTAGTAAGTTAGGTTTATGGGGAGTCTACAATATATATATTTGTATTCTCTTCAGTAGCAGACGATGAATAATTTTGAGATTAATCTGATATTGTGAGTTCTTTCACGAGAGAGTATCTCGTATCTTTCCCGTTTTTATTCACGTTCTACATCACATATAGATTAGAAACTCAACTTTAATTGATAAATAAATATTGTATTCAAGTAATTAACTAATTATTTAAAAGAAAAACAAATTCAAATGAGCTTGATTAATTCTCCATTATTATGACCAATTAGCTAATTTACTTCAAAAATAAAGATAAAAATAGAATACAAATATGCGGGAGATTCTAGGTCCCGTTACAGAATTATTTGTCGAAATTTGTAACCGTTAAATCAATTATTCACGATGGTTACATGATAATATAACTGTAGCATTTCCCCAAATATGCTCAACCAAAACCACAATCTTCAACAAAACGAACCACTCGCTCCTTCAAATGCCGGGCTCAATTTTCTCTTAACCCTCGAAATAAACCCTTTGGAAATCAAGACTTTCCCCGCCATGTCCCCACCACCCCTTCCGTCCACCCGCCTCGCCCTCCTCACCCTCCTCTCCGCCACCGCCACCCTCTACTTCCTCTACAAATCCCGCAACCGCCACCGCCGCCTCCTGGAGCGCCTCCGCCGCGCCCTCTCCCAGCCCGACAGCCATGTCCCCATCCCCGCCCCGCTTCCCAACAGAGGCAAACTCTTCTTCATATCGCAGACCGGCACCGCCGAAACCCTAGCCCGGCGCCTCCACGAGCGGCTGGCCGAAAATGGACTCCCCTTTGATCTCGTCGATCCGAAAGACTACGAGCCCGAGGATTTATGCAGGGAGGGCCTCGTCGTGTTCGTGGCCTCCACTTGGGAAAACGGTGGGCCTCCCGAGAATGGGGCCTTCCTCGTGAACTGGTTGGCGGAGAGCGCTGATGATTTCAGGGTCGGGGCTCTCGTGCTCAAGGACTGCAAGTACGTGGTTTTCGGGGTTGGGAGCGGGAGCTATGGCGAGACATACAATGCAGTGGCCAGGGGCATTTCGGTGAAGTTGCGGAAGCTTGGGGCGAGCGAGCTGGTGGAGTCGGCCGAGGGGGATGTGGACGAAGGGAATGTGGACGAGGTGTTTGATGGATGGTGCAAGAAGATTGTTGGGGTTCTGAAAGGTGATAGTTTGGGGGAAAACGTGGGGCATTTTGGGAATAATGGGGTGGGGGGAGAAAGTGCAGAAGAAGAAGAAGAAGAAGAAGAAAGCGAGTGGAGTGAGGATGAATACAATGATGATGAGGCGGCTGTTGTCGATCTCGAGGATATTGCGGGGAAAGGGCCTTCGAGAAAATCAATGGCGAGGGATAAGGCCAATGGCAAATCGAATGGGCATGTGGTGAATGGGGAGAAAGAAATGGTGACTCCAGTTATAAGAGCAAATTTAGAGAAGCAGGTAAAGTTCAGCAATTTTTTATCGAGTTTTGAACTTTAGACTTCGTAAAGTGAAAATTCTATTGGAGTTGGTGCTGTGAATGTTCTGAGGTCATTGTATTTATTCTTGATTCGTTGAAAGAAAAATAAAGTTGATGTTTCGCTTTGGCTTATCACCTTGGTATCTGTTGGAACCCTGAAGTCCAAGCTTCTTCTGCTTGATGTCATGTTATTAATTAGTTCATTACCAATTTAAGTCTTATCACTCAAGAAAATTACCTCCAGCTGTTTTTGGTTACAAAAACCACCTCCAGTTGTTAAAGAAATGTGTTTTCAATCCCGATGGACTAAGCTTGCCGGAATTTATCTCCAATTTCAAGCCCCAAAAGGCAACATATGAAATATAAAAAATCTTTACGTGGTCATCTTAGTTGGATTGTGTATCAGATGTTTAAGTCCCCCGTAAATACACATATACTTTCTACCTGTAGTCTCCACTCTCTTATATGTGATTATATGAAAATAGGCATTGTGTCGTAATTGGCTTATGTCCTTCACAGGGGTATAAAGTCATTGGCTCTCACAGTGGGGTTAAAATTTGTAGATGGACCAAGTCTCAGCTTAGAGGACGTGGTGGTTGTTATAAGCACTCATTTTATGGAATTGAGAGTCACAGGTATAAAATGTTTGCTTCTGTTATAGGTATATCATCTTAGCAGTATATAATTTTAAACTACTGATTGGTAAGTGTACTTTTAGATAATTCAATTTTACCCACTTACGCATTAAGTATGTTCTTGAACAATAGCGCCAATGTTATTGGCTTTCAACCTGGATGACTTACAATCCTTTAGGTGTATGGAGGCAACCCCAAGTTTGGCATGCGCGAACAAATGTGTGTTCTGCTGGAGGCATCACACTAATCCTGTTGGGAAATCCTGGCAGTGGAAGATGGATGATCCTTTGGTGATTGTTGATACCGCCATTGATCTACATACGAAGATGATAAAACAGATGAAAGGAGTTCCAGGTAGGTTCAATAAGTTGATTTACAAGGCTGTGTTTCAACTTTTACTTTTCGTGACGTCAAATCTCTTAGTATATATCATGTTTCAAACTTAATACTCTGTCTTCATAGATACTAAGTGTAGTGGAGTGACTTTATTTATTTATATCCAATCACACCCCTAGTTGTTAGTGGAATTTTGAGTTCATATTAAAATAATATTTTAAATAAAATAATTAAAGTCGATTTGATGTAAAAGTAGGAGAGAAGTGATGTGAATTGATGATTAGTTAAAATTATGTGAGTGGATGAACAATGAATTAAAGTTGATATGATGTGTAAGAATGATTAATTAGTATTATTTAATTTTATTGATAATATTGAGGATAGTGAGATTGAGTTAAATTTGAGTTTTGATTGGTTTTTTCTGATTGAATTTATATCCAATTACACCCTTAGTGGAACGCGTTGGTTTTTGCAGTTGAGGCTCTCTGAGTTCAAAATCAAACGATGTATTACTTTAAGCATTTGTGCTGGCTAAGGGATTTTGCTAATAATTTATTAGAATTTTATATACTTGCAGGGGTGAAGGCAGAGCTTTTGTCCGAGGGTCTTTCTCCTAGACATTGTGCCTTGTCACTTGTTGGTGAACCTATCATGTACCCAGAGATCAACTCTCTTGTCGACGAGCTTCACCGGAGGCGAATATCGACTTTTCTCGTGACAAATGCACAGTTTCCTGAAAAGATTAAGATGCTTAAGCCTGTCACACAGGTTTTTGCGCGTTCATCTTTTCTTTCTGTTTTATGGGCCTTCAATCTTTTTATTTTTTAAGAACATTATGCGAATACGAGATCTAATAATACTCTAATTTTGAGTCATGATGACAGCTGTATGTGAGTGTGGATGCTGCCACAAAGGATAGCTTGAAGGCAATTGATAGACCACTATTTTCAGACTTTTGGGAGAGATTTGTGGTAAGTGCTCGACTTTTATTTGAAAGTTGAAACATGCATATATTTTTCCATTAAGATTTATCGTTCTATTATCCATATCTGAAGTGCTCAACGTTTATTTGAAAGTTGAAACATGCATATATTTTCCATTAAGATTTATCATTCTATTATCCATATCTGAACCTTGCTATTCTTGTATGATCGGGGACATATATTTTCACTGCCAAAATGTTTTTGAGCCCTCCAATGGTCTCATTCATAAAAATTATGATGAATGAAAAAAAAAAAAAAAAAGGATAGCAAAAACATGTCATAATCAATTATGTAGGATTCATGTTTGCAAAAAATATGATTGGGGATTTGTGTAATCATATTTGTAGCGGATGGGATTTTGCTGGCAGCATCTCTGAATTTGAGTAATTAATTGCCAAAAACTTGATTTTTAGGATTCTTTAGAAGCCCTGAAAGAGAAGCAACAACGAACCGTGTATCGGCTGACACTTGTCAAAGGATGGAATACAGAAGATGTGGATGCATATTCATCACTCTTTGATATTGGGACTCCCGATTTTATCGAAATCAAAGGAGTCACTTACTGTGGATCGTAAGTACTTTTTTACCTGAACCCACTTATTCGAGTTCTGTTTTGCCTTCTTTTGTGTAATCTCAATATAAGATACTGAACTGAAACAATATCTCAATATATATCAATGCCATTAACAATACATTGGGATTTGGGCCTTTTTCAGGTCAGCAACTTCAAAGTTAACAATGGAGAACGTGCCCTGGCATTCTGACGTAAAGGAGTTTTCTGAAGCCTTGGCTCGAAAGAGCAAAGGGGCATATGAAGTGGCTTGTGAGCACGTGCACTCGTGCTGTGTACTTCTGGCTAAGGTTGATAAATTTAGAGTCGATGGCCAATGGTATACTTGGATAGACTACGACAAGTTCCATAACCTGGTAAAATCTAGAAACTGTTTGCTTTTGATTATATTTGAGGAAAAAAAAAAAAAAATTGGTACTTTATGTTGATTTATCTACATATTCGATGTTTTTTGAAAGGTCTCAGCTGGAGAGCCTTTTACTAGCAAGGATTACATGGCTCCAACACCGTTATGGGCCATTTATGGAGCAGAAGAAGGCGGGTTTGATCCGAAGCAATCGCGCTTCAGAAAAGAAAGGCGTCATAAGTCGACACGTTGAGCTCGTCTTTCTTTTTTTAGAATATACATTTTTTTTTCTTGGGAGTCCCATTTTGATTTGGAAAATGTTGTTTGTTTATGGATCTGTGATCCAGATTGGTGCAATCATGCTTGTAGTCGAAATGGTAATGTGTTTTTGTTAGTCTATTAGCTTGAGACAATTACAGGACGTCCTATGTGCAACGCAATGTTTTAAAATCCGGGCTGATCACTGGACCAAAAATGAATAACAAAAATGAACAATTTATATATAAATCTTAACTCAAAATCTTAATAACAATATATTTTAATAATCATTTATCATATAAATACATATACAATTCTATTTTTACAAACCGAGGTGATCGGGTCGACCTGACCTGTGTCAAGTGCCAAACGACCCACACGAACTAGTTCAAACTTCACGTCAATCCTTCAAGTCAATCGGGTGTTGGGTCGACCCATTGGGCCGGTTCGGGTTACGAAAATACTAATGCTGGGATGAACAATTCTGACACTTACCGAGTCGGTCTGGGTAGAAAAACACGAGTAAAAAGATGTACAATATTGTCATTCGTATATATAAAGTTTCTTAAGGACGCGATGGAAAATGAGAGTTGTTTTGATTTGATTTATTGGTTCAAGTGAATTCATTTGGAACGAAGTTGATCGAGTGGAAGATTGAACGAGATTTTGAGTTTATATTTAAGTAATATTTGAAATGTAATTATTAGAGTTGATATCATGTAAAAGTAAGAGATATAATTGAAAATGATAGGTGTTAAAAATATGTGAGCAAACAAATAGTAATCAAGGTTGATGTGGCGGTGAATATGATTAATTAATATTATTTAATTATATTGATTGTAGTGAGAGAGTGATATTGAATTAAATTTGAGTTATATTTTGAGTTAAATAGTGTAAAAATGATTATTCGCTTAGTCAAAACCCAATATAATTGATACTCAATCAGTCTTTAGAGCATGTTTGTTTATGAAAAATTTTAAAAAATTTCCAACATTTTAACTCAATCATTTTTTTTAACTCAACTTTAACTCAACCCCACTATCATCAATATTATCAATATAATTAATAATATAAATCAATCATTCTTACACACCATATCAACCTTAATTCACTATTCATCCACTCACATTATTTTAACTATTACATCAAACCAACTCTCTCCTACTTTTTCATCAAATTATTTTAATTATTTTATTTTAAATATTATTTTAATTTACACACTAACAACTAATCATACCACTTTTTTCAAAATTAACCAAACCAAACCAAAAAATCCAAACAAAACCAAAAATTTCTATAAACAAACATGCTCTAATAACCTAATACTACCTCCTATTCAAAATAAATGTCGTTTTGACTTTTTTGATTCATCCATTTTGCTATGTATCTAGACATATTTATGTCTAGATACATAGCAAAATGGATGAATCAAAAAAGTCAAAACGACATTTATTTTGAATAGGAGGGAGTACTTCGTAATGGATACCGTTTTTACCCAATTGGCCAATCCAAAAAAAAAGGTCCATTTTAAAAGGTCCATTTTATTGTTTCATAACTATTTTGCCATTGACCTGGCCAAATAATTGCTCATCCCAAGGCCCAAAACCTTCATTTTATGTTTAACTTTATATTAACACTATATTAGGTCGCTAAACCAAACATATGAATAAAATAATATTTTAACACATATATTTATTTTTTGAGAAATTTACTTATTTTTTGTTTATCATAATACTCAAATATTATTTTATTCCTAAAATTTATTATCATACAATGTCATAATTATTATTTATAACACTTATAGAAGTAATATTCTTTTTTATATATACAATGATAAATATTTAATGTACATTAATTTTAGTTATTAATATAATTAATTTAGAAAAATATAAACAAGTTTAAAATAAATATTTTGTCATATATGAATTATTCGTTTTTAGAATGTATCTTATTTCATAATAATTAAAAATCATATATATATGAATTATTCATTTTTAGAATTTTATCTTATTTCGTAATAATTAAAAACCATATATGTATATGTATATATATGTGTGTGTGTGTGATTTTCTGACAAAATTAAATAGGAGTTTTATCAATCTAAGGCTTGAAAGATGGGTAAACTATCAATGCGGGGCCTGAAAGATTTTTTTTTTCAATTAGGGACTTAAATGTTATAAAACTATCAAATTAAAGACCTGAAAGATGGGTAAACTATCAATGTGGGCCTGAAAAAAAAGTTTTCTCAATCATTAATCAGCACCCCCACCCCCACCCCCACCCCCCTTTTTCATTAATCAGCACTATACACTCATTNNNAAAAAAAAAAAAAAAAAAAAAAAAAAAAGGGCAGATAAAAATTCAATTTTTTTCAATAATTTTCAGCTGCTCTTTCTCAATCATTAATCAGCACCCCCACCCCCACCCCCATGTTGGGGTATCACAACAAGCGCAGCGGACAAAAATACCTCTCCAACAAATATGGCAAGTACTACTCCAAAATAAGCCAACACAAATAAAAGACGAGAAATAAAAAGAACACAAAAATTGATAACGGAGTTCGGCGAAAATAGCCTACGTCTCCGGGCACCGCCAACCGCAACGCCAAATTTACTAAACTCACCAACAAAATACAACTAGGGTTAAATAACCCACAAAATAGGATTTCCTTAATTAAGGATTTCCTTCTAAATAGGAGAGAATAGAATAAGGTGAAATTGTAACCCAAAGGCAAGGGACCTATTTATACTAATAAGATCCTACACATCTTTGGTATACATCCGATGTGGGACAACAATTAATCAAAAAACTAACAATTCTCCACCTTGACTAATTTTGCTCCCACTTCCAACTCAACTGCTAGCGGTGCCTCCAAATGCGCCTCTCGACGCCAACTCAAATATGCAGAATGTTGGTCAAGTCTAAACAATGTTCAAACTTGACTGCTGTCACTACCTTGGTCATCATATCTGCAGGATTCTCCGTCGTCTTGATCTTCTTCAACACAACGGTTCCATCTTCTAGAATCTCCCGCACAAAGTGATAGCGAACATCAATATGCTTCGTTCTTGCATGAAATACTTGATTTTTCGCTAAGTGAATAGCGCTCTGACTGTCACAATGCACTAAGACGTGCTTTTGACCAACTCCCAAGTCTTCAAGCAAACTTTGAAGCCAAATAGCCTCCTTCACAGCTTCAGTAACCGCCATATACTCTGCCTCTGTTGTAGACAAAGCAACTGTTGACTGTAAGGTAGACTTCCAACTGACTGGACCTTTTGCAAAAGTGAACAAATATCCAGTCGTTGATCTTCGCTTATCCAAATCACCCGCGTAGTCAGAATCACAATATCCAACTACACACTGACCAAATTCATTCTGCTCATAAACCAATCCAACGTCTACAGTACTATGAATGTAACGTAGAATCCATTTCACAGCTTGCCAATGACCTTTCCCAGGGTCATGCATATACCTGCTAACAACACCAACTGCTTGTGAAATGTCGGGCCTTGTACACACCATCGCATACATCAAACTGCCAACTGCATTTGCATATGGGACTCTAGTCATGTACTCTCGTTCTTCATCACAATTTGGCGATAATTGGGCACTTAACTTTAAATGAGGAGCAAGTGGTGTACTTACTGGCTTCGACTCATCTTTTATGCCGAAACGCCGCAGTACCTTATTCAGATATTGCTTCTGAGTCAAACAAAGCTTGCCTCTCACTCTATCCCTACTTATCTCCATCCCGAGAATCTTCTTAGCTTCCCCCAAGTCTTTCATCTCAAACTCTTGATTCAACTGAGCCTTCAATTGATCAATCTCCACTTGGCTCTTTGATGCAACCAACATGTCATCCACATACAAGAGTAAATAAATGAAAGATCCATCTTGCAACTTACGTAAATACACACAATGATCATGTCTGCTTCGCGTGTACTTCTGCCCAATCATAAACTTATCAAACCGTTTGTACCACTGCCTCGGAGATTGCTTCAGTCCGTACAACGATTTGTTCAACTTACAGACCCAATTCTCTTTTCCAAGAATTTTGAATCCTTCTGGCTGAGTCATGTAGATTTCCTCATCCAATTCTCCGTGTAAGAACGCCGTCTTCACGTCAAGTTGAGCTAGCTCTAAATCCAATTGTGCTGCTAAGGCCAACAAAATTCTAATGGAAGAGTGTTTAACAACTGGAGAAAACACTTCATTATAATCAACTCCTTCCTTCTGAGCGTAGCCTTTAGCCACCAACCTTGCCTTGTAGCGCACATCATTCTTATGAGGAAATCCATCTTTCTTTGCAAATACCCACTTGCATCCTATTGCCCTTTTGCCTTTTGGTAGTTGCGTCACCTTCCAAGTTTGATTCTTCTGGAGAGACAACATTTCTTCCTCCATAGCCCACTTCCACTTCTCATTTTCTAAACTTCGAATTGCATCTTGAAAAGTGAAAGGTATGTCATCATCAACAATTGGAAGTGCATAAGCCACCATATCCGCCAATCGAGCAGGTTGTTGAATCTCTCGTCTAGGCTTTCTCAGTGCAATGGGTAAATCTAATGATTCATGAGTCTGAACTTCATCATCCGACGAATCGTTTGATATTGTTTCGTCGATCATAGCTGGTTGTCTCGTCATCGCATCTATCTCCACCTGCTTCGGTGTCAACTCCACCTGTTGGGTTTGCATCGTCTTCATCATACTTTGTTCATCGAATGTAACATCCCTGCTAAACACAGTTTTCTTCGTCTCAAGACACAAAAGACGATATCCCTTCACGCCAATTGTGATTCCCATGAACAAAGCCTTTCGCTCTTGGATCTAACTTTGAATCCTTCACATGATAGAACGTAGGACACCCAAAGACATGTAAAGATCCATAGTCAGCAACAGGTTTCCCCGACCATACCTCCAACGGTGTTTTACCATCTTTTGCAGATGACGGCAAATGATTTATGAGGTGTTGCGCATATGTTACAGCCTCAG